AAGTTCGACCAATGTATGCTTGTGATTGTTCTCTAAGGTCAAGTAGGTGTTGATCTTAGTATATAATTGTTATAGGTGTCTGACGAGCCGTGCTCTCTGCCTACACCCGTTTGTGTGCCATTTTTCTCCGTTGCTATACCAGGTGAGTTCTAATCTAAAATTGTCTATGCCATGAATGATGAATGTTTTACTTATGGGTATGATCTAAGTATGAATATGAAATATGTAGCCTATCGATGTGAGCTGTTACGGCCGTCGGTACGGTTGTCCCCGTCGATGTAATACGGTTGCCCTTGTGAGGCAAGTTTCCTTAAGTCCTGATATGGCCGTGGCCTTGCGAGGTACATAAGCCCATATGGAAGGCCGTGTCCGTAGCGTGGTATGTACTCCCGCCTTCGGGTAATGAATCCCCGTTCTGCGGCTAGCGATAGATGTGCACAGGAGTAATGTGGTTGTTGTGATTTTGATAGAAGATGAGACAATATGTGATTATCTTATATTCATGCTGCGACCATTGACGTGTTATTTATGTGCATAGTAGTGAGCACTATTTTCATCTTGTGCTCACTCCCACCTGCTCTTCACGGATGCAGGTTAAGCAGGTGCCGGATGACGGGGAAAAGACGAGTGGGTTGGTCATGGTTATTATGTTTATGATTTCGCTTCCCTTATGAATAAAGTGCGATCTTTGAGACATGTTGAACTGTTTTCGAACTTGTCCATGTCGGGATTTTTGGACCCTTTGTTTCATACTCGTATGAGAGTTATTTATTGATTATCATGTGGTTTCGATTATGCTTGCTATGTGGTTTAGCTAATAATCATGTGGAATTAAATTTTGAAAGGTTAATGAAAACCATGTGAACAGACACGACTTGGTTGATGTTTAATGTTGTAAAACGCCCATGTTTTCGAAAGTAAGATCGAAAAATTTTATACTGGTTTTTGGGAATTCTGGAATTTCTTTAAAATCAAAGTGGGGTGTTACAGTTTGGCATCAGAGCCAGTCTGCGTTTCTGTAGACTGGTTTTATTTGTGAATATGTGTTTAGACCTTGTGTTATGACCACTCGTCTCCGTCACTCCGCGCTGCTTAAGGTATGTTTCGTTTAAGTATTAATGAAAATACTTGATATGTAAATAATGCACATGTAGCAATGAAACTACTTGTGATGAACTTGTGATTTGGGGCTTAGGATCTATCCACCTTGATTTAATCGAACTCTAGTGTTATTGGCGAACTCTAGACTTCAGTAAGTATTATGATTATGTTGTTTGTTTTTTTGCTAAACCTTGCTCGACTTATGCAATGTAGAATCATGAATACTCGCAACAACCGTAACCGTCAGGCATCCCCGCAACCTTCTCCGCCCCGTCAGCACCAGGCGCCTCCAGCCGTGGACCTTACTCAACTCATCATTCAGTTTCAGAGGATGGATGCACCAACCTTTGCGGGGACTGAGAACCCCACAGCGATGCTGGAGTGGATCAAAGAACTGGACAAGATCTTCGTTGTACTTCCCCTCCCTGACTGTCAGCGGGTATCTCTCACAGCTTATCAGATGAAGGAGGACGCCTCCGACTGGTGGATTGACCACTGGGCCCGGAGGCCAGAGGCGGAGCTTCATACTCTCACTTGGGAGCAAATGAAAATGATGGTGCGTAGCAAGTTCCTTCCCCAGAGTTTCTGGGATAGGATGGAGCATGAGTTCTACCATTTGCAGCAGGGCAGCTCCACCGTGGATGAGTATATCCGCACCTTCACTCGCATGTGCCTTTTTGCGGGCGACGCGGTGAACACCGATGCCAAAAAGGCCCGCAAGTTTCTCAAGGGACTCAACCAGAGGATCCGTGAACTGGTGGGGAGTCACGGACTGATGTCCTATGCTGACACCGTGAGTCGAGCTCAGGAGGTCGAGAGCTGTCTCATTCCATTGGCTCCAGTTCCTTCTTTCTATCATGCCTCCCAGCCATCCGAGGCCATTGTCCAGCATGCTCAGCCCCTCTCGTCTGTGCAGCCCGGCTCTAGTTCGGGCAAGAGGAAATCAGATTATCAGAACAAGAAGAAGGGCAAGAAGGGAAATTTTGGCAGACGCGACGACCGACCCACCCAGGGTCAACTGCCGAGGTGCCCTAAGTGTGGCAGGTTCTACGCCGGAGAGTGCCTAGCAGACCAGCGAGCTTTTTACAATTGCAACCGTCCGGGTCATTATGCCAGTGTCTGTCCTGAGCCCAAGAGGCAGCAGCAGTTCCCTCCGCAGCAGCAGCAGCTTCCCCCACCGCCACCTCATCAGCAGCATCAGCAGCCCCCACCGTTCCAGCAGAGGGCTGGAGGTCAGGCCCGAGTCTATACCATCACCCATGATGAGGCCGCTCGCAACACAGGTACCATGTCCGGAATGCTTTTGATATCTCATGTGCCTGTTTTTGCTTTATGTGATACCGGTGCTACCCACTCCTTTATATCTTCTCGTTGCCTGGAGTCCTTGTCTCTTAGCACTGAGCATGCTTGTGATCCTCTCGAGGTTAGTTTAGCCTCGGGAAAAATTATTATCTCTGATTCATTGGTTCGCAATCTTTCTATATGTATCGGTGGTCGAATTTTGGATGCCAGCGTTTATGTAATTGATATGCGAGACTTCGACATGATCTTGGGCATGGACTGGCTCACCCGTTACCGAGCCGATATCCGGTGCCAGGAGCGCGAAGTCACCCTCTATCCTGCTTCCGATCAGCCTGTTGTGTTCTTTGGGGTGA